ACAGAAAACATGCTCTTTCAGTATCTTGTAACATTGGATTTTATGGTTGTTTTAACCTTCGAAACATCCATGTGTTATACTGACTGCACGTCCGTTGTCACAAACCGTTTTGGTGAGTTCATCGGTGCACGTTTCTCGCTCCGTCTGATTCGCTTCTTATTCTTGTAGCCTGTACAATATACGTTGGGTTCAGTCGCCTCCGACTTCTATACTGTCGTATTTGACACGTCTTACGTGTCATTGCTTACCGACTAGTATCCCAGGTTCCGCCCAACAAACCCGAGTTAGAACAACATACCGCGCAATATCTTACTCTCGGTTGTTTCAACCAAATTAATTTTCAGTCACTCCCTCGGTTAATCTCTGCAGTCAAACAGCGTTTCACCATACCCAGTGCGTCGCATTTCGGCATCGTGGTGAGGAGTGCGCTAACGTTAACATAGCTCATCGTTTCATCTTCGTTTCACACGAACTCATGACGGTTCTTTACAAACGTATTCATTCACCCTGTCAACGGCTACTTTATACTAACGATTGCATATAGACCAGCAAATGCGAACTTTTGACAACCCGGTAACCTTATCACAATTAATGCGGTACACTTCCGCAAAGCTCGGTGCAGTGCATCATGCATTGCTGTGCAGATGCTGATGCTAGCCTCATCATTAAGGCCGATCAACTGCAGTTAACAGGTAATTCGGCCACACCCACCGATAACTAACGCATGGTTCCATGATAACGCGTAGTGAAGCACTGCACGCATTAATTATTTCACCTAGCCACTATTAACCACAACCGATCACACGTAGACACAGCTAAGTCTAGGTCACACCACGTGAGGTTAACGGACCTGCAGCTAGTTTCAGTGAAGACAATCAATACTGTCTCATTGTAGAGTACATTTCATGTCCGGTCGTCTGCACGTAACAGTGAGCACTATGAACGCGGATGGCCGCCCATTTCTGTGTTGTGTGTCTTGATGCCGCGTAAGTGAGTGGGTGAAAGTTACAACACTTCCTCAACCGTCCATAGATGCCGCGTGCTAGTCCGCACTTATCCTACATTGAATGAGCTCGTGTTGTTTTCACGTTCGCTGTGCATCACGTGGTTTGTCGGCTGAAAGCAGTCTAATCGCTGCACCAACCGATGCAGATGTTCTGACTATTCTTGTACTGAGTTGCAATTGGTCAAGGTGATGGATTCAACTTGATGTGCTTATGAATCGGGTTGAATATTCTTAAGGAGGAGCTTGATTCCGTTATGGACTAGCTTGATTCGTGAAAGGTATAGTCTCAGCTGGCAGGGTTCCAGCAATATGCATTTCAAATGGTTATAAGGAAGGTGTTTCTTACATATTTCACATGCATTTAACTGACATGTAGAATGGTGGGACACTACCGTCTCAGCTCGCGTGCACGTCTGGCTGCTAAGTCACGTTAACCCGCAAGGTTCCGAATTGGAGTGGCTACTCCGAGCGCATGGGGTACCATCTTACGTGAGAATATCCGGTTGCTTTGGTGAGTATATATAACATATTTATACACAGGGATATTTTTCCTTATGTTTATAATTTGCAAGTGCTTTGTCAGCACGCATTAGTCGCAAGTTTGGCAATAGATGAACTCGGAGTAAAAAGGCACAATAGGATGACAAACCTGAAATGGTATGTTGACACATGCACCGAAGTAAATAGCATATACGGTAAAATGAGCTACTCAGAACACAAGTAGTAGGACCGTAAGTATCGAGCAAAGAGACAACAATGTTTGATCAATCGCATGAGTGCATGTGGCTGCTTGAGTAACGCCAACACGTGCACTCGTAACATCTCCTCACGTGGCAGATAAAAGCACATCTGCAAAACGTAACGTTCTGTCGGTTTAGGTGAACGTTTTTGTTTCC